ACTGAATTATTATGTGCCTCTGGAATAGGGGGAACTTTGAAAGGAATAAATAGTTGACACGTAAGTTTGTCCATATTAAAATATTGCTTTCATTGATATTTGAAAGTAAACCAACTTAATCGAAGTCTCTATTTGTGTTATATTCAAATGAACAGAGTAGTACAATTTTTTCTTCTTTGTATATAAATGCGAAGAAAGTGATTGTGAAGTATTAAAATTATTCAAATAATTATATTTTGATTATACTAAGAAGATGAAAATACTTGGCGTTAACATGTTGATTTGAATATTTATGTAAAATACAATTTCTCGTGGAAATGATCATTTGAATAATGATATAATAATATTCTTTTCAAAAACATAATTGAGGTAGATGCATGGCCTACTTTCATATATTATTTTAGAAGTTTCCTCACATAGAGTTTATATACATATGCGCTCTATCAATGATTATGACACAATTATATCCTACCACTTAACAAAGATGATATCCTGACTGACTTGACCAATATTAGGGAATGCAGCATTAAAAACACAGTTTGAGAATTGTTTTGTTAAAATCAGACATATTCAGTAAGAATGTCCTACATATCAATTAACGTGTGCAATAAAATTATTTTACCCTAAGATGAGCATAATATAACTTAAAAATTAGTTCCAAATATTCATGATACTTTAAAATAAATGTAACTTTATATATTATACAGAAAATTATAGGACGTACAGGTATATCAGTGGGACATTAGATTGCAAACATGAAAGCGACCTCAAAAACATCTTTAAAAATACCAAATAAGGAATTAACGACAACCTCAACGGTATCGCCGATACACGTTGTCACGACTGTACGTGATTTCGGTTTTCACAAATACGAGTTTCACAGACAGATTTTCTGATAAGGACAGCCAAAATGTCATTTTCTTGCAAACGGTTAATTACTCTAATAAATTGGAACAAGGGAACTGTTCAGTTAGTATCCAATAACTTATAACTTATAAAAAAAAATCCTCACCTATATAGATTTTAATGAATATTAAGATTACAAAATGCGGTTAAAATCGCACCGTATGTCACAAATTATTCTGGTATGATAACAAATTCCTTTATAATTATAATAGCAGCAAACATAAAAACGCTACATCTGAGATGTACATGATTACGTTGGAAATCGCCGATTTTATTACTGTAATAACAAGTTGAACGAACCAGGTGTGCACTCCTTACACAAATCTTAGAAGTTCATTAAGTTGCATGATTTTACGATTTGTCATTCACGTAAAATAAAAAATAAGGAGTTTCAGAAAAGAATTATTATATATTGTCGTGACCATAACTGCTTAGTTTACTTAGAGTTTGAAATTATTTTTGTCCAATAGAATTGCAGTATTTCAAATGAACATAACACATTAACTTTGGTAAATAGACTAAATTTAATCAGAGTTTTAAATTTGTAAATGCTTACTTATAAAAACTAACCTTTACTTACTATATGCTAACCATCTTAATTATATCTTTCTTTTTTCTAGTGATGCAAACAACGAGTGTATCTTCTGACTTGAATATTATCAAGATTTAACAATCAGTTACTTGACTGCAAAGTGCTTTATGATATTTAGATGCGCGATATTAAAATGTAAACGCTGTTAAATCATATGACGTGAAATGTGTTATCAATGAACAAAATGACGTAAAATTATCTTTTTTTTTTACTCTAAATGTAATTAAATATCTTATATTTGATTACTATGCTACGAGTTTATTGAAATGGAAATATGTTTAGGTTAATAAGTGTTTATAAGTAAGCATTTATAAAATAGCCGCTCTACATATTTTATGTGGTAAATGTTTACTAATAAACAAAACCCACTAAGTGTTTATAAAACTGTCGATTTATTAGGCTGGTTAATTTTAGCCGATTAACCAAGGTAAATGGGTTATGATTCATTTGATTCACTGCAATTCTATTGAATAAGAATAATTTAAAACTTTTATTAGTTGTTGTTTCGTTGTGGTTTATAAAGTAATATTACACACGATATTGTAAAGATAATGATGGTAGCTGATTTGTGCCTTTCGTGTTTTCGCACCGCGCCCCCACTAGTGAGCTTGTTTTGCTCTGCGTGTCCGCCATTTTAATTTGTTAATCGAATTTTCGCTTGGAGGGGTCGGACTGCGAAAGCACGAAAACCACAAATTAAACATCATAAAAAATTAGCTAAAATTCTAATCACTGGTTTGGCATGTTTGTGCATCAGAGATCTTATCGTTCAATGATATGTTCATTCGATAATGCACTCAAGGTTAGTTTCCTTATAAAGATTGTTCGAAGCGATATTCTTTAATTATTGTATTTTATAGTTTTAATATATTTTTAAACCATTGCGGCAAAATAAATGTCAAACTATTTCGACTTTCAATATCATAATCCTTTAACACAGTCAGGAGTCATGCATCCTGAATGAGCTCCATCTTACGAACATTTTTAGATTGTAACAGAACGATGCGAATGCATAAGAACCAATCCCGTCTTAGTTGAACATGCGATCTTTACAAACTAAAACAACGCGCTAAACCACTAATATAGTAATCAAAATCCATTTAAAAAACGAACAAAAAAAAGCAATATGACAATGTTGCAAACTCTGTTGAGTATGTGCATGGATGGAAGAAAGAACAAGCTACCATCTACGCCCCTTAACACAGGCTGCAGCAGAATTTACCATTAAAACATAAAAATTGTGACATTTTATTTTATACACATAAATAGATGCATTCATACAACTATCATAGAACCTACACAGTGATACGTATGTGTCATTTCATAATAAACGGGATAAGCGGCGTACGGTCCCAAAGTAACGGAATGGGCATATCCTTACGAAAAAACAAAGGGAGGTTTTTAAAAATGGAATTTTGAAAGGGGATCAAAGGTAATGAAATATGCATATAACAGACAAAACGTCAAAAGATAAATTTAAAAGTACTTATCCTTGGGCTGATAATACAGTACAGAAGAGGTTGTGAACATTCGATTGAAAGAACTAAAAATACCGCAAACAAAACAAACAACGATGCTGTGACAGTAAATTAGAGAATCCTTATAACAAAATCCCTGAATAACGCCAAAAGAAAGTACCGCAAAAATTAGAAATATTGCAAACTCGATTTGATTTATCTAGTCATTGAAACGCAAGCTACCACTAAGTCACAGAAATGATTCACTGATGTCAGCTATGCAGGCGGTTGAAATACATTCCAAATGTATTTGTTTGTTGAAGGTGTATCATTCATTCGTCCAATTAATAGTGTCATCATTATTTTCTTGAGTACCTCTTTTGTTTGCCATTTACTTTAAGTGCTGCGGTATTACTATTCTCTTATGAGCTGTTTGAAATCAAATTAATAATTCATTTGTAAGTAGTTAGAAACAAATTTAAATTTCAATAATTTAGAGTAAATAGATATGCGTCAAAATGTGCGTGACATGTTTTCTTTTAAAATTATTCGATCTTTGTAAATTATAATCGTCGACCAACATTCGAATAAAGGTACTTCGACAAACCTTAAAGCTTACGGGTTTTAAATACACATTATGTGTCAGAAATTCATATCATTTTAATCCTTTAGATTTGACATTTCTAAAGAATATAATTAATATTGATTTCTAAGGCATACATAATTATCTTTCGGGTTTTAAATGCACGTTATGCCTCAGAAATCAATATTATTTTAATCCTATAGATTCTAAAGAATATAATAGATATAGATTTCTGATTAAGAAAGGGAACGAAAAACACATATGTACCATAATAAGTCTTTGTATATAACTATGTGAATGAAATTTTAAAAACTGTTTGTTTGACAACTTTCTTATTCAGATCAATTTGAAATCGTGTCTTATTGTGCACACAAACACATGATACTAATCATTCAATATGTACAAAAACAACACTGTTTCAATGCTAAAATTTATTCAAAAAGAAAGTATAATTAAAACATCAGTCTTATATAACGATAAAACAGTTTTAAATACACAAATTGGTGCTCTATCAATGATATTTAGAAAAGGTAATATGAATGTGTGTTTAAAACTTAAATTGTGAATAGTTATTGAATTGTCAACAATAATTCGTTAAATTGTCAGTCTAAAATTTAGTGTTCATTAGCTAAAACACTCAAAATGTTTTGTCCTTTCAACTGAAATCAATTAATTTTAATTCTTTCGTGCATTCAATCAATAGTTAACGAGCGAGAGTGGAAGAAATAAAGGACTAGAACTTGGTAGACCTTGTGGCATCCGACAACGATGATTGTGCAGTTTTCTTTTGTATGAACACTTTACAAAAAACTTTTCGAAATGTTGTTCGAAATTTACTACCTGATATGCAATAAAAAAAGAAATTAACAGAATTTTGAAATTCCGTAATCATAAAGCCGATGGTTGTAAAGAGAATGAATTTGGCAAAAAAATGCGGATCTTCAGCTATCAAAATACTTGGATCCGGATAAACATAGTTCAACACCAAACTGATGGCGTAAGGTATGTGTAAAACTAGGAAACAGACCGATATTGATAACAATAAGATTGTCATTTTTCTGTTTTCGCTTGCTTTTCTATCAATGGTGTCTTGATTGCTAGCTATATTTATACGAGCCTTAGTCATGGCGCTAAGTCTACAAAGAATCGCTATATTACAAGTACAAATGCAAACAACTGGGATGTATATATAGTAAAGTGATTCTGTGTGAATCCAAACTGCACTGAAAAAAGCTGTCTGAAAACATACGGACACGGTAACTTTGCCAGTCCAGTAGTTGCGAACGTCAAATTCTGTTAGATAAGGTATTCCCAACAACAAACATAGCAACAGAAGCAATACTAACGTTATTTTAGTGTTTCTGATAGAACACCATGTTGCCAATTTCATAGGAAATATAACTGCAATAAATCGCTCTATTGTCCAAGACATCAAAATCATGTTTGAATATATCAATGATACGTGTACAATATATTGTGGAACTGTGCAACCAGCTAGACTTATATCAGAGTTGGCTGACCACGACTGATATGCACATCTTGTTACTACTGTACTAAGATCAGCAACTCCCAATGTAATCATGTACATTTCAGATGTATGACGCGGTTTTATATTTGCTGCTACTATGATCGTGAGAAGATTTGTGATCATCCCAGGAATATTTGGAGCATATGGGAAGGCATTCGTCAAAGCTTTATAATAAGTATATTCCTTAAAGTCTCTATAGGTAACAATTGTTTTATTTGAAGATTTTGTGATATTATTTGAACAGTTCTCTCCTTCTGCATTTTTGCCTGAGACAGAACAATTCAACGTTTGCAACAAGTTGGTATTTATGCTGTCCACATATGGAGTAGGTGTTGTGTGATTTATATCTATGTAATGGTCATCCGTCACACCGGAAACAGGTTCTGTGGTTACAACATTTGTCTGTGATATCGTTGATATTGTTTTTAGTTCCTTATTTTGTATTGTTGATGAGGTACCTGAGATCGCTTTCATGTTTGCAAAAATGGATGTCAGAATCAGCACTATAAGACTTCCCACTGATATAAATGAACATCCCATATTTACCTGTGCATGAAAAATATACACTAAAATTCAATACAAGTAAGCATGAATGTAGTATTATAAATCAAACTAAATCATAAAATAATCAAAACACTATTTTATGTTTATTCATTATTGAATTCCCAACATTCATCATTTACAGGTAAGTAAAATTGAACTTTAGCGCAAATTTAAATGTTTGGATTAGGGATTAAAAGAAAACAGAATTGCAGTAAATCAATGTGGCCGATCAGTGTTTTAATTTTGAAACACATTCATCAATATTAACACTAAAAAGAGTTGGAATAAAACAAACCAGTGTAAGCAAGCAAATTGCAGCACTGAAAAGTACGGTTAATTACAATCTTAAGCATATTCAAACTATACTATCTTAAATAGTTAAAATTGAAAGTTATATTTAAGTTATAAAATTTAGTAGTATAGAGTATAGGAGTATTTAGTATCATCTAGTAGTATATCGTATAGAAATATTTTAAGCATCATATGCAATGATCTTGAAGCAATAAAGCTGACATTTTTGTAGTAATATCGAATTAACTTCAGAAACATATTTGTCGCGCTGCGTTACTGTCGTTCTTAGAAAATTAAAACATTTCCAAATCTACTTTGTATGTGAAAAAAATGTTTCCATTTTTACAATCAAACACAAGTTATTTAACACTAAATCAAACGTTCAAATACGTTTTATATTTAATTTAATTTTCCCTCGCTTATAAAACTTGACTACAAGGATATGTTCCAAAAACTCTTAAAGTCAAGTACGTTTAACCTTACATTTACTATCAAAACAATCTAGGAAACATGACAAGTTATATTATGTCCAATTTAGTTATGAAACTGAATATTTGAATTTTTTATAGAAAAATATGATCATTACAGACCACTTCAGATTAATGTATTTATACATATAGATATTGTTATGAGCAAAAGTAATGAAACAAACACAGTCAAAAGAGATATACTTACGTTTTACTGGTATATGTTAAATGTTTTATACTTGTTTTTTTTATTGTCTAAAAGTGTACATTCCTTCTTTAATTAAGATCCGCTTTTTTAAACAGTCATATTTTTTACGAAAATTTAAATGGTAAAATTAAACTTTTCAGTCCAAATACAAGATATATTTATAATCTTACCTTGTGAAGCAACTTTTATATATATGATGGTTAACGATATTGCGTTTACAGCTATCATTAATAGTAATGATCGGAACATCTTCATTAGGATTTACATAAAGAGATCTTGCATGTGTTGATGAAATTTGGACAATCATTCCTCGATAAACTATCAAGAAAACGCATTAACCAAAACATCAAAGCCAGAATTTTAACTTCCTTGTAGGTCAAGGTACTTATGATAATATGTTATTCTTTTAAAACTACGCAATTCAACTATATATTGACCGTTCATTTTCTTCGATAAATGTCAGGTGTTCAAAACCCAAATGCGAGGTAGGTACAACAAATGTATGGCATACTATCATTACTTTCTGAGCTGTTTTAATAAATATTGTAATTAGATAACAAAAAGACTATAATAGATCTTCAGAGACACAGAGCAACAATTCTAGAAACACTTAAAGTTATGATGTTGTCTACATTCAAACTCAAACGAAAAAAGCTTTTACGGACTACAAGCATCCAGTCGTTCTTACGGAATAAAGTTAAAACTTCCACAAGGTTTGAAACACTTTAAAACAAATCATACTTTATCTAAATTAAGACTCGATGCTTTGATTCTGATTTGAGTCAAAGGAAGATCACCGTCATGTTGTTAAGAGGTCAATTTTTGTAAGAGTTCCATGTCAGAAAACATTCTTCCTAAGTTTTATCAATAGTTATCTAGTTGTTTAAGAGAAATCGAACAAAAGGGAATGTTAACGGATGTATTACTATATACGTACGTTAAATAGAAGCTCACTAATAGCTCACACTCACATGCTAACCTGTCGCCTACGAAAGGATAGACGATGGAAACTTGCTTTTACAAACACCCCTAATTTTAGCTTTAAACAATATTGATCTAATACTTGTAAGCATCTTACATCATAGAACAATTTGTTGAAATAATTGGCAGGTTTATTCTATCACACATACAGTTCAAGACAGATATTTCTACTAATGAATGAGACTACAAATAAATATATAAAATATAAGTAAAAACGTATATAGGTTTGCTCTCACTTAACTTTTAACCTTATTCAAACAAATCAGCAATGGCATACGGCATTTTACCTGAACATGAACCATTAAAGAAAACATATTAATGTATCCTCGGGCGAATAGAATGTTTCCGGAAATTGGCCTATATACTATTACACGTACAAGTATTATGTGTAGAAATATTTACGGGCTTTAAACCTTTTCGGGGCTTTTCATATATAAATACGTGAACAAGTACATAAACTGTTAGTTAAAATATAACTGTAGTATGCGTTAGAAAAGAATATGTTTTTGACATTTAATTTAAATGTTAACCACGTCAATTTGGCTTGTTTCTAATTGAATTATCAAATAAAATTTGTTTTAGTAACGTATAGTTGATTAAGAATTGGTAGTCCCTATTTTTGTTACATCTTCATATTTTTCCTTTTGCATATATTCCCTTGTTAACGGCCATTCGTGACTTTAGAAATGGCAATAGTCATTGGATAGGAGTCTTGATCTGATTGGTAGATAATTTGACCAACACATGCAATATATGTTGAAATATTTCCTTAAGTGGATGTTTTGATCGTCATAATTAAACATAAATGATATCTATTAACGCAAAATCGGTTTGTTTTCCTTAAATATATTAAACGTGTCCACAGCTACTTTTTATTGCACATGGAATTCGTGTACATTGAAAGGTATGATAAATAAATTGTTATTTTCCTGAAAAAAAAAATTTTTCAAGAAAAGTCTCTTATCAAGAACATAATTACAATGTCCATCTTTTACAACTTTTTTCAATGGAATAGAAGAAACTTGGGAAGGATTAAATAGTCGACACTAACAATAACACGTAAGTTTGTCCATATTTGGATTGATTCAAATATTAAACAATATTAAACGATTGTTTTCATTGATATTTGAAAGTAAACAAACTTAATCGAATTCTCAATTTTTGTTGTATACAAATAAGTGGTACAATTCTTTCTTCTTGGTATATAAATGCCATACATTATAGCTAAGACAGTGATTCAATTCTAAAGTATAAAATTTATACAATTAATTATATTTTGATTATACTAAGAATATAAAAAAACTTAACATGTTGATTTAAATATTTATGTGTAAAACACAATTTTTCGTGGAAAATATCATTTGTATTATGGTTTAGGATTAGTCTTTATTAAAATTTGACTCATTTTTAATTGAAGTAGAAACACGGCCTGCCTGTCATAGTATTTTAATGTTTGAATATTATTTTTAAATTTTTGTCACACAGAGTTTTGATACAAATGTATGTATATATGTGCTCTATCAAAGATTATGAAACAATTTATATACTACATTGAAATCAGTAAGAAGCAGTTGAATGCAATGCTCGTTTGAAAAAAAACACACCCTTATACGTTAAAAATGAAAAGAAGTTACTTTTATCAAATAAATTATAAATAATTGAGTTTATTGTAGCTTTGCCCAGTATTAGGGGACGCAGCTTCCAAAACACGGTTTGAGCATTCTCTTGTTCGAATCAGACATATTCAGTAAGAATGTCCTACATATCAATAAACTTTTGCACTTAAGGTATTTTACCAAAAGATGAGCTAAAGTATATCTTTAACATTAGTTCCAGATAATCACGATAACTTGTCATAAATGTAGCTTTTATTTTTATATACAGGACATTATGGTATATACAGTTATATATGTGGAAAGTCTAACATTGCTTAACCAGATATCAGTGTTTGCAAACATGAAAAAAACCTCCGATATGTCATCAACAAAACAAAATAAGGCACTAAAAGCAATCTCAACGGCATTGTCGATACATATTAACATTGTGACAGATGACCATTTCATGAATACGAATCACACAAAACCAACTTCTGACAACGACAGAAAAAAATACCACTTTATGGCAAACGATTAATTGCTCTGTTGTAATTAAATGATAAAAAATGGAACAAAAGAACTGTTTAGTTGATTTACCAATAACTTAAAATAACACAATCGTCACCTATAGCGATTTTATTGATTATAAACATTACAAAAATGCGCTTCAAATCGCATAGTATGACACACATATTCCTAGTTTGAAAACAAATTCCTTTAAAATTATAAAAGCATCAAACATAAAACCGCGTCATACATCTGAAATGTACACGATTACATTTGGAATCGCCGATTTTATCACTGTAGTAACAAGATGTACATTACAGGTGTGGCCCATTTACACTAATCAAAATGCTTAATAAGTTGCAAGATTTCCAGATTTGTCATTCACGTAGCATTGATATAGTCAAATTTTATGTCGATGTCTTGGACAATTGAGCGATTTATTGCTGTAATATTTTCAATGAAATCAGTAACATGTTATTCTTAGAAACACCAAAATAACATTAGTCTGTTTTTTTTTAAATATTACTTCATTTTGTACTTGGTGTACTATTTTTGACTGAATATCACGCTTTTACTTTTTGCACTGGTAAAGTATTTGTTTCCGTGTGTTTTGAAACAATATTTGGTATGGGCTTACACAGCTTCCGTTTACTATACCTATATCCTAGTGGTCTGTGTATGTGTAAACATGGAAGCACTTAGTGTGAAATAACATGTCATAAAAGAAGCAAATAGTAAACACAGTAACATGTGGACGTCAATTTAAAATCACTGTAACTGTATTTATTGCTCAAGAACAACAAAAGCAAATGAAATGGTTCAGCTTATTGGCCAATATTAAGAAACTTTTTTGGAAATTATAGAAGAACACAAAAATTAAGTAGCTTTTTAGAACTAAAAAAAGCTTAACTTTGGCAAATCAGGCCTTTAAAATATCAAATGTACCTCTGCAAC